TTCTACCTACACTTACAATTTAAATGGTATACTTCACAGCAAGCTTCTTAATGTTGCTGTATGTTAAGGAAAAAAAAGTCCCTGGGACTAAAAAAACTTCCCTTTTCTGGAGAAAATACATGTGTCAGGTTCCCTGTGGTGCTTTGCATGTTTTAAGTTTAACTCCATCTTTCGGAAAAATACACATTTTGCAACACAACCAGAATGCCAGTAAATCAACAAATATTGTTTTTTTCTACAGTGTTCCTGGGGTCCCTCTGCCTCGGTAAACATGACTATAACTCCATGACAATCTACAGTTTATGTTTTTTAATATAGTCCTACAAAATGGACAAAAAAGAAAAAATATCAATATCACTTAAAAAATATTAATTGTATTTTAATTTCTAAGGTAATAGCATCTTACAATTAAAGTATAATGCAGGCTGAAAGATTATATTTGGGGAATATACTTCCAGTTTGCATGTGACCTCAATGATTGGAAACCTTTCTCATTTGTCCCAAATGATTAGCAGGTACTGGATCACTAGCAGATACTGGAGCTGTCGGTTACAGCAGGGTCTAAAAGAACACAGCCATGCACAGTGTTCACACCCAGCTGTCAAAGTGGAAATGTAAATGAACTTTCTCTCTGTACAGGGCATTCTGTAGGGCACGGATGTTAAACGGGCGGCCCTCCAGCTGTTGCCAAACTACAAGTCCCATGAGGCATTGCAAGATTGACAGTTACAAGTATGACTCCCAAAGGCAGAGGCTGGAGGGCCACCAGTTTGACACCCCTGCTGTAGGGGAACACTAATCTACAGACAAGAAGGCGGTTAAACAGTCCATACATGTCTTTGCCATCCCTAGAACGGTCGTTGCCATCCCTAGAACAGATACTGATTGTAATCTGCAACATATTGCTAAAATCTTTGTAATATGCTTAAAAACAAATAAAAACAAATAAATAAATAAATCACACTTTTTTTGCAGGTTAAAAAAAAAAGTGCATTCATTATTATTATTATTTTATTTTAGGAGCCTGTAAACCATTGCACCCACAGACCGTCTGTGTAGCGGTCTGCCTGCACCTTCAATATGGGCAGGCAGTCACTGAATGACAGGAAGATCAATGCTTTCATCAGCACCCTGGTAGTTCATTGAGAACATTGAGAACTACAAGCCACCAACTGCTATGGCTGATCGCAGGGACATCCCTAGGGTTGGTGTCATCTGGTGCGATAACACTTGCTGACACCCTCTACGACGATCCCCCCAGAATGGATCGGATCTGCAGATTGAGCATAATGGATCGGACTCTGATCCATTATGCTCCCCAATCCGCAGATCCGATCCATCCTGCGGGGATCGTCGGCTTTCTTTACAACTTACCTTTTCGTGGAGCGGGTCCGGTCTTACCCCGTATAGGTTACATACCGACGATCCCCGCAGGATGGTTCGGATCAGTGGATTGAGCATAATGGATCGGAGTCTAATCTATTATGCTCCCAAATCCACAGATCCGATCCATCCTGCGGGGTATAGCTCAACACTGAATTTATAGTTGGACTTTTTGATTTAATATTTGGACATTTGATATTCACTACATATACATTTGTGTTCATTTATATGCACTGGAATATATTATATTATTTTTATAGTATGTGGAACATTTTTAGAGATCTTTAAGATCATGTGTATTATTATATAACTAGCGCAGCACTATTTTTTTTTATATATCACAGTAAGAAGCGGTGCTCCCAAGCCGCTGCTTTGTGTGTCCATTCACACACAGACGTGGCTAGGCCCTGCCCTGCACTCTCTCCTCATTGGCTCATTGGCTGTGATTCACAACAGTGGGAGCCAATGGCTCCTGCTGCTGTCTCAGCAAAATCAGGGAGAGACTCGAGACATCCAAGGCCCTCGTGGGGCTCAGGTAAGTATTGGGGGGTGGGGGGCTGCTGTGCACATAGAATGCATGCATAGAATCAATGAAACACATTGATTTGAACATTTTATTGAACAAAATACAGCCAATTTCAAGCTATCTGGCCATATGTAACAGGTGCTCCTAAGTCTACACCAGAGCCAGGAGGATGATTGCTGTATTAAACTGAATTTGATTGTGTTTTTATAGGATGGCCAACACTACCTCCTGATGCTCGAGATGTGAAACTGTATCAGAGGGAAGTTGGGTGAACAGGGGACTTTTGGTCCAGGGATGACCTCAAAATGTACCTTTGCAATGTATTCTCATGGCACAGGTATATAGATGATGTATTCATTCAACAGGCGATTTGGAAGTGCTGAAAGAATTCCTCTTAGCTCTCAAAAGCAATGATTACAATGCTCATCCCAAACCTCTTTTGAAGAGCATCTCTTATGGGTCGTATATTAGAATCTCAAGAAATGCAGTCGAGAGAAGGGCTTTGAGAGAGAGGACAAAGAACTTAGAGATAGACTAAAAAGACAGTGGTAAAAAACTATGTGAAGCTCATAGAATTGAAATACAATAAGCAGATTGAAGGACTAAGAAATGAGAAGAAAGGCAGAGGACAACAACGTGAATTTAGTATTGAAATACTGTAACCGACATAAAATGATTTTGTAAATTTTACTAAAGAAGGACTCTTGGCTGACTACAATTACCACTGCATGACCACTGATTAATACTGATTAATTAACTGATTAATCTATAGGAGAGTGAGATACTTTAAAGACAGATTAGTGTCAAGTGAGTATAAAATTCATAAAAAGAGGGTATATTCTAAACACCAAGGGACGTTTCAGTGCCATAAATACGCATATATATTATAACTGGTAAACTATAACTACTTTCCTTCAGGAACACGGTGTGAAGTAGACACTTTGCATATAAACGACTCCCTGTTCCTCAGGTAGCAAATATGCAAATGTAATAAAGTTTACTGCGGAAAGACTAGAAATATACTGATAACATTTTTAGCCACTTCTATGACCTAGGTTTGTGGAATCTTAGGTCTCTGGTGGCAAGCCATGTGGTGTTTGAACACCATGGAAAAACTGAAGGACTCTGAAATTTTTTTTGGGTTAGAGTACATAAAAGTAACATAGCAGGAGACATGGATAAATTATTCTAAGGCCTGGTTCACATTACTGTGACTTTAGAATCGACATGTGAGTTGCATGACAAGGGAAATCACATTGTTTCAACGGTGTCTGTTCACATCAATGTAACTCAATATGGAGTGATTTTGGAAAAGGTTCCTGTACTACTTTGGTGCGATTCTAGCGCGAGTTTGGCGCCATACAATATAAAAAACTCATCAAAGTTGCATGCAAGTAGCACTACATAATCACACTGAAATTTACATCAAAATTGTATAGCAGTATTGCCTTACAGAGTGCATAGATCCACCAAGTGAGAGCTTTTGTGGAACTAGGATCAAATGGTGTTTTAAAATGTTAGTTGCTTTCAATGAGAAAGTGTCATTCTTTTATTCAGTGTTGGAAATAGGAGGATCTTATGCTGATAGTTATCATTTTTGGTTCTAATTTGTCTTGTGTCCCCCAGGTTTCCCTATATTTGGTGATCAGAAGAGTTCCACTCCTAGGGTTCTGTAGTAATAGGCAACTTTTGGTTCAGGAGCTGTAGCTAACGTGATGAAATAGATGGGTACATTTATTTTTATTTATTACAGGTACTTCTATAGCACCAACAATGTACACAGCGCTTTACATATATATTGTACATTCACATCAGTCCCTAACCGTCAAGGTGCATACAATCTAAGGGGTACATAGTGGCATATCAGTGTATGTAATTAAAGGAGTTCTATCATCACAGCAAACATTTATTTTATAACATCAGCATTGTAATAATACAAAACTGTTATTTTTGACAATGTAATATAAGTTCTGTCTGTCTGCTGGCCATCTCTTTTCACAACTCCCTGGATTCTCTTCATGCTTTTCAGGTTTTCCTCTGTTATTTAATTTAAATTTCTAAGGACTACATGTCCCTTGATACCTTGCTGCCAGCAAGCAGTGATATCTGTACTGACTCCACCTCCTGAAACTCCTCCTCTCATCACCCCTGTAGTCGAGAAGGCAGGTAAAATGTATGACACAACACTGCCTAATGAATATGTGTCACAGAATTCAAGGAAGTAAATGTGTGGGGAGCTTCACAAAGTTTGTTTACAAACTTCTAGATCATTCAGATTATACACGGGCTGACCAATTGGATCCGATCCATCTGTCCTTTTCAGGTGGACCCCGATCAGACCATCCATTGCCCTCTAAGGAGCAGCGGATATAAACAAACGTGTCTGTTTACACCCGCCTACATCACAACAAAATCACAGAGTTGCCTTGCCACCCATAGTTGACTGTTTGCTTCAATTGCATTACCAGGGACTGAAATGTTCCAGAAAAGCTCTTTTCATGCTGAGCTAATTAAAATGGCCACAGCCGATCACAGTTGAAAGTCAAATGGTTTTATGTACCATTGAGAAGGTGATTGAATTTACAAGTCATTTTTAGGAGGGGGTTGATCCTTTTTCCAACTCAGTGATTCTGTATTTTCAATTTTTTTTTCCAGACATGCTGGTGTTAGATCTTTCACTTGGATGTTATAAGCTGTACTAAGTAAATACAGCTGGATAAAACAAACTCTGTCTGTCTTTATTTCAGGCTGCAAAGCAACAAAATGTGATTATTATAGGGGGTGATTCTTTTCCATAGCCACTGTATTAAAGAGGGTTGGTCTCTTTGCATTCATACACAAATGCTCACTAAGCAATAGGTAAGAAGTAGCAATAGGACAGTAAAAATTCATTAATTTATGAATACTTGAAAAAAAATATAAATAGTAGTCTCTGCAGTATTTCTGGAGTCCACTTGTGCCAGTCACTGTCATTCTGCAGGCAGCCCACTGTCTTCCCAGAATATTAGGATGATAAGTGTTTTCCCATCTCCTCTAAATAATAATTCATCATCTAAAATAACGCCACAACATACTTGGACATCTTTCTTACCGTTATGACCAGCAAGCTGCACCCAGCGCCTCTTAAACGGACTGATAACAGGAATGTTCACAATGGTTCTAAGCTTCTGCCATGATTTATTCTGCAGGGAAAAGGGAGACAAAATGTTAGTCAAGTAAAAAATGCCAAGTTACAGTCTATGCTAAAAACACAAAATGTCCTGAAAGTTAGCAACATATGTAAGAATCTCCTACACATTACCCAGTAGAAGTGTCCAGAGAAATCATTATTGGATTTGTGATGGAATACAAACTAATATCTCCTGGTTTAATAGGAAAAGAGTTGGCTTGAAATAAATAAGCACTTATTTTAATTATACAAGTCTTATAATTTAATGGGAAAATAGATTTTTCAGTTTCAATGTTGTCTATGGGAAAAAGCACATAGCAGCCATAAAGTGCTTTATTTTTTTATAGAGTGGTAAAGACTTCTGTCAGTCTGTTTTTGTTTTTTTCAGCCGACTGTGTCCTGCCAGGGAGATTTTCTGTCACTTCCTGTTCCGAAGACAGCAGGAAGAGAAAATAAATGTCTCCAAAGAAAGGGGAAATCTCCTCTTGTGCACCTCTCCATAAAACAGGCCAATACATCTGAAGATTTCTCTGTACCTATTGTTAATGTTACATCTACAGTACTGTATTTCCCATCACTTTTTGCACCCATTCCCATCACTTTTCTGGAGACAATGATCATCAGGACAGAGAGGGGTAAATCTCTCCAGCAGGGAAAGACCCATCAAGAAAAATTTGAACACAATTCTGACCAATTCCTACCCTACAAACATTAAAGAAAATGTTTCTGGTTTTACATACATTTCAAGAGTGTAGGAGAGAAAAATACAATAAAAAATTGGATACACAATAAAGATTACATTAACCTCCTTGGCGGTATGATTCTTTCCGATTTTTTGTGCTGAAAGCGGTACCATTATTTTGCATGGAAATATGTAGTTTTTTATTGTAGGCTGTAATTTTTAGGAATAAGTCACTGAAATCTGTACGAACAAGAGTCTAGTAAACATTCCGGATATGATAAAACTTGAAACACGAAATCATAAATTATAATTTAATAAATAATCATAAAAAATAATAATATAATAATAATAAATTTAATTCAATAATATAATCAAACCAAAAACACTGAAATTTGAAATACAGAGGCAAATTCGCACATTGCTGAGCAAAGTCGCAAAATTGTTTTCAGTGTCTGATGACGAATTTCCCCACGAATCATTATCACTCAATTCTGCAAGTGGTTCTGATTTACTATCGCTGTTCTAAAACCGCTTTTGACGTAAAGGGACGTTTTTTGGACGCCATGGACTTTTCTAAGTTTCCAGGCAGAAAGAACAATCAAAATGCAGGCAGGGCACAGGACAAAGCAGTAGGGACAAAATATATGTGAAATGCATTGAAACAGAAATGACAGCAAAAATTACATTTTTTAAAAATTTCTAATTTCCCGCCGGTTCCGGCGCCCGTACATCCCGATGTCACAGGGACCGGAACATGGAAGCCGGCATCAGCCGGAGGAGATGTGCGGGAACGCTGCAGCGGACACATCGCGGGAGCGAAGGACAAGGTAAGTGCTGCAGGGACCCCCTGAGCAACGCCGCATGGTAAGCCCGAGTGTAGCTCGGGGTTACCGCTCTTGGTATTGAAATTGTACCCCGAGCTACACTCGGGAACACCGCTAAGGAGGTTAAACAAGAATGGATTATGACTGTTTTGAAAGTAGAGGCCAGCGGGATAGGTAAATAGTTGGTAAATATCTGTGTTAAATTAAAGCAGTTCCAAAGGCTCAAGGCTTTTTACCTTCATGCATGAAGGTAAATAAAAACTTATGTGTTCGGCTTTCCCCACAGCCCCCCCTAATGTTTACCTGAGCCCCATCGTGATCCAGTGATGTGCACAAGAGGTTTGGCTCTCTGAGGACTCTACCATATCATTGGCTGAGAAAGCAGCGGGAGGCATTGCCTGCTGCTGTCAATCACTGCCAGTGATCCAATGAGGAGAAAGGGGTGGAGCTGAGCCACAACTGTGTGTGTGTGAATGGACATGCAGAGCAGTGGCTTGGGAGCGAGCCTGCTTGGGTGCCCCCATAGCAAGCAGTTTGCTCTGAAGGAACCCAGCAGGAGTGAGGAGTGCTGGCAGGGGACCCAAGAAGAGGAGAATTGGGACTGCTCTGTGCAAAACCACTGCACAGAGCAGGTACATATGAAATGTTATTTTTTTTAAACTTGCCTTTAACATCACTTTAAGGATCATACTATGTGTTTAACCTGCAGATATGTTCCTGGGGAAAGGCACTGGTTGGAAGTTTTTGCAAAACTGACAGATCCATCAACAATTTTAAAAAATTCAGGTAAAAGCACAGTATTTTAAAGGCTTACTTGTTGTGTTTTTCCATTCCATAAACAATTTCCTTTTCACTTGCAATGTGTGACTGAACTTGCTACAAAACTTGACTACTCCAGGAAAAGTAATTTTCCTACCACATCCCCTCCCTTCTTACATGTCACAGCCCTCTCCTCTTCTGGAAGTGTCTAACTGTTGTCTGTGCCGGCCTAGCTCCTCTGCCCCCTCCCCATAATTCACTACATAACCTTTTATGCAGCAACTGGTAAAGGAGTGAAAGAAAAATACTATAGAAAGCTACTTGAGTCTGCTGTGGCTAATGACATGACATCCAAGAATGCGGCATCTAGCAGCAGTCTCAGGGTTTTCGGAGTGCAATATACTGCCACATACACACTGCATATATTACATTAAACAAGCAAATCAGCTGCAAATACAGGTAAGAATACATAAAAAGGAAAATGGAGAGTGGACAAATTATAAAGACCTTTAGAGTAAAACTTTGTTATTATAAATATTGTCTATATATGCTGCAGATTCTGCAGATCAATCCTACTTTTCTTGACCTTTAACCAGTGGAACCCAAAGTCATTAATACATGTGTTATTGAACCCATACTTCTGAATTGGCCTATTAATATAGAAGAAAAATAAAATTTTAATTGCAACTTCATTTTTTTTTAAACTAGTTTTCTATGATATACCATAGTATAGTAGCCTAATGACCAAGCTAAACAGACCATCAAAATATATTACCTGCTTTTACAGCAGATTTCCACTGATATACAACTCGATCTCACAGATGTGAAATCTCACAACCAATGCAGAATTCTGAATTGTGCTGGGGGAAATAGGTTGTGGGAGCTCCACATACCCAGGTAAACGAGGCTATCCAAGGTATGTATGGATCTTTCTTCCCCAACGTTCAATAACTCTCTTGAGGTACCCAATACGTGTATCAGTTACCAGCAGTTTCATCCATTTTAGACTCGGCACAGCCGATTGTCAGCGGATGTATAGTACAAGCACCTGCAGACTAGATTACGAATACAATGCTAGTATAATGGTGATGTCACGTTGTGTCAGCTAATGGATAAATGGGTTTTGTTTTGGATTAATTCGTTAAGTTAATCATTTAATTTTGTCATTTATGTTGGAATGATTTGTTTTCAGAATTTGTTTTGTATATTCGGATTTGTTTCATATATTTATTGATCCGAATCGATTTGTATTTTCAGAAAATTGGCTATATTCCTTTTAATTCATTATTTAAAGGAGAAGTACAGCCAAAGCTCTTTTGGCTGTACTTCTGTGAATCACAGGAGTACAGCTTGTTCTGCACTCCTCTGACCCATTTTCAGCTGACAGCGGGCTGAAGTTACTCCGCTGGCCCAGGCTAGGGAAAGATCCCGACTTTAAAGTCGGCCTCCACCCCAGAGTTTGGAGGTGCACCTGGCTCAGCCTCTCAGCAAAGAGCTGAGAGCCTGAGCCAGCCGCTCCCTCCTCCTCCACAGTCCAACGCTCAAGTGAGTGTGGGGGGCAGATTATAGACAGTAGTGACTGACAGTCACCGATCTCTGCTCAGAGCGGAGAGAACTCAGTGATCTCACTCTTAGAGGCGACGGGGGACAGATGCTGCATCCACCTAGGAAAGTATAAATAAGGAAATAAAAGCCCTACTTCTCTTTTAACCAATTGCCATCCAGAGGATTTACCCCCCCCCCCCCATCCTGACCAGGCCATTTTTTGCGATACGGCGCTGACAATTGCAACCCAAATGAAACTTCCATCCTTTTTTCCCCACAAATAGAGCTTTCTTTTGGCGGTATTTGATCACTTGTGCATTTTTTTTTCATTTTTTGCACTATAAACAAAAAGTCCGACAATTTTGGGGAAAAAAAGCCTGTATTTTTGACTTTTCACTATTAAACATGCCCAATAAAACTAAATTTTAAAAATCTAATTTCATCATAAATGTGTGCCAAAATGTATTCTGCTACATGTCTTTGCTAAAAACAAATCCCAATACATGTAAATTAATTTGTTTACGTGAAAATTATATAATTTACAAATGGCGGTGCATATATATAGTGGAATTTAATATTTTTTTTTACTAGTAATGGTGGCGATCAGCGACTTATAGTGGGACTGCAGCGGACATTCTGACACTGGGGGGAACTGACTTGGTGTGGGGCAATCAAAGGATTAACTGTGTGCTTTTTTACTATGGGGGCTGTGTGTTTGTTTCACTGTAAGCACACTGCTTTCTATGACTCTGCTATGCAGAGCCATACAAAGCAGTGTACAGGAGCTGACAGGGGAGAGATCTGTATTGTTTACAAACAGGTCTCTCCCCCATCAGAAATACTCAGATCACCAGGTGCTGGCAGGGAATCACCGCCCAGGATCCGGTGATTGACAGCCAAGGCCGTGAACGGCGGAGCGGGTAGGGCATGTGCGCATCCCCTGAGACTGCAAAATCACGTATATATACACATGTGATTTTGCGCACCCATGCCGCCCTGTAGCAGCATTTCTGCTATAGGGCGGCGCGGAAACGTTTAAGGAGATTGCTTATGCACTCAGAGTCATCCCTGCTAGTCCAACCCACAAAAAGAAATAGAATGAGCTGATTGGCCGATAACGCATGGAGTCACATGCATCCAGAAGAAGGAAAGAAATTAATTTTGGATTCATTTGTTATGTTAGGATTCAGAGATTCTGATGGATCC